AGAGAGAGAGTACATTAGTGGTGCCCCTTACCTCTTTGTGCTGCAGCAGGCAAAAATCTCCAAAGTGAGTTATGAAACAATTTTCTGAGCAATCGCCCTGTGGATGTGCTCTTGAGAACGACCTCCCCCCAGCTCTTTTCGCCCAGACTTCCCCCTTGGTAGCACTACTATATCCAGCATCTCATCAACATCTCCTAAGCGGGATGTATAGAAGACGACAGGTTAACCTTATTTCTTTTGATGATGCCAGACACCGTACACTCTTCGGTGAAGTATTGCAATGACTTGCTGGTTCTGCCGCCCGTGACCCGTCGGCTCGAGGCTGTAACATAGATAGGTTAGTTTTGTAATTTTGTTTGGCTGAGGGCTAACCGAGAGACCTGTCTGTAAGGAAAATTTGTGAGGGACATAACTGTAAATTTGGCGGAAAATATAGGCCCACACTAACTGGAATTTCCTACAGCTACCCTAACTGCGAATAGCAGGCCCGGGCTACCCCTAGGACAGACAGGCCCTAAGGCCTACACGCTGATAGACGGTCCTATAGCCTATACCCGGGTAGGGAGACGCCCTAAGCCTTGAAAAGGCCTTCTTGAGGTGGTGCCACATTTGGGAGTGTGGTAGACCATTATAGTCAGATAACAAATCTTTATCATGCTTCCCATTTCCTTCTTTTTTTTTCTTGTTTTTTTTTTTTTTTTGTTTAGAACTTTAAAGAAAAATCATAGCTACGCCGGACCGAACCCCAGACCCCGGACCTCCCGGGCCCATCCGGACGTCTGGAAAACTGGAATATTCTGGAATATCCGGACCGGTCCGGATCCCTGGTCCGGATTCTTGTCTGGATCCCCTATATTGTCCGGGCTCCGGGGGAAAAAAAAAAGAAAAAAAAAGCCTCTACTCCTCCTCGTCATGAACTCCGCTTCCTATCTTGTCCTCCTCTAGTTCTCATCCTATTCCCCCTCCTCCTCCTTCTCGTCCTTCTCAACTCGGGTCTCATTTTCTTTCTCATCCTCCTCATCCTTTTTTGGGACCGTTGCTTGATTTATGCGTGTCATCTGTGTGCAGGGGCCATGCTAATCTAATCCTTCCAATTTTAACATATGTCCCAATGACATATCGGGAAATGGACCAAATAAAAAATAAATAAACCAAAAAGGAGCAGGAGGAGGAGGAGGAAGACAAGGAGAGGAGGAGGAGGACGGCAAAGGAGGCCGGAGTTGATGACGAGGAGGATGAGGATGAGGAGGAGGAGGAGGAGGAGGAGGGAGCGAGAAAGGAGGGAAGATTTAATGAGGACTAGGAGGAGGACGGCGGGAAAATAGGGCGCAGTTGAGGAGGAGGAGGATGAGGAGGAGGACGACGACGACGGGAAAGCAGGGCGGAGTAAACACGAGGAGGAGGAGGACGGCGACGATGACGACAACAACAGGAAAACAGGGTGGAGTTGACACGATCAAGGAGGAGGAGGAGGAGGACAATGACGACGATTAGAAAGGATAGCGGAGTAGACAACGACGGGGAGGACTGGGAGAAAGAAAAGGACAGTGGGGTTGACAAGGAGGAGGAGGAGGAGGACGATGACGAGATGTGTGTGTGTGTGTGTGTTGTGTGTGAGAGAGAGAGAGAGAGAGAGAGAGAGAGAGAGAGAGAGAGAGAGAGAGAGAGAGAGAGAGAGAGAGAGAGAGAGA